TGGGTTGTGGTATGGATACATGTTCTTTCTTAGAACTGTAGCTCTCCGGTGAGGAAGAAGAGCAACAGAGTCTGATTCCTTGGTTCTTAGAACACAGCTCTCCAGCTCATTTAGTTGATTCCTAGTTGATTCCTCTGAGAGTATAGTTTTTGTTGTTGAACCTATTGAAAATCTCTCGCACATTTCTTGGTTCCAAAATGGCAATGACGTCAGGAAAATAGACGAACAAGGGTCCTATAAAATTTGTATGAAAAAAACTCTGTTCCAAACGCAAGAAGAGGCAGTCGAATAAATCATCCTGTGTCATGCCAACCGCCATCGCCAGGAGGGAGGGAATCATTATTTTCTACTTCTGATAACTTGATAAGGTATCGCCGGTAGTCGGATTGGTTTTAATTTCGCGCTGCAAGGTCGAAGACGGAGCCCGACTTAAAAAGGCTGGATCCACAACGCGTTTTTTAGTTCCCGCTGTTTTATAAATGCCTCCGATCCCCTCTCCTCTAGCGCCCACACCGATCCTTTCTCGTTTCTCCTCTCTGCCGCCACACCACGCCACGCCACGCCAATAATCCCTAGCGAGCCGCCGCCGGCAGGAGCATTAGAGCCACCGTCCATGGCCACGAAGCATTGTCTTCCTCCTGGCTACCGTTTCGTGCCCACTGACGAGGAGGTGGTCGAGCTTTGCCTGCTCCCTCGCATCCAGGACCAGCCCCTCCTGCCGAACGACATCATCGAGGACGATCCGCTGAGCGCGCCGCCGTGGGCTCTCCTCGAGAAGCACGGGCGGAAGCACCAGGCCTTCTTCTTCGCGGCGTGTCAGGCCATGAACGCCAAGGGCAACCGCCAGAAGCGGACCTGCGTGGGACATGGGACCTGGCAAGGGCAGGGCAAGAGGAAGCGCCAGCAGGAGGAAGAAGGGCAGGAGGTCAAGAAGAAGCTGCGCGTGCGCGTGCACGGCAGCGCCGAGAAGATCGAGATCGAGTGGGACAAGTACGGGCTCAACTTCCAGGAGCACGGTGTCAAGGGCAGCACGGGCTGGGTCATGCACGAGTACTCCATCACCGCCCCGCCCGAGCTCGCGCGGTCGCCGGTGAGGGTGTACTGCATCCGCTTCAGTGGCCACGGCAAGAACGCCAAGAAGAACAGCAGGGATGCGCAGCATAGGGGCGACGACGACGAGTTCGAGGACGAGGAGGAAGTGGATGATGAAGCAGCAGGAGCAATCGCCACCGCTACCTGGAGTGCCGCGGAGGAAGACGCTGCCCTGCTCGTCGAAGAGTACCTCACTGCTTTCCCTGTGGTGGCGGTGGATGTTGTCAGCGCCAATCCCGCTGATGTGGAGGACGCAGGAGCAGGCTATGATCAGGACTTGCCCACGTTGGTGGATGACGACAGTTTCGACTACATGAACTCTTTGCCTGACCTGTTGCCTAGTTTCGACTTCTCCCAATGAGCCGATGCTGCCGGACGACGCATGATCAAACACGCCGTAGATCGATTTAGCTCCTTACCTTGTTGTAGCTCGAGATAGCGAATTGCTGTATCTTTTGATTTTGTGCGTTGGTGGATTCTTCCATTCCTGCGTAGGAACTGCCTTTTTTTATGAAACAGAGTTTCTGCTGCCCTGTTAGTACTAGTTTAACCTTCTTGACTTGTCTTAACGACGAAATGATATCTTATTTTGTGATCATTGGTGAGTGTGGACGATTCAAAAATCTACTTATGTCTCTGCTATTGTTTTGTTACTATTTTTCAGTTCTACTTATATACGATGAATGATACTGAAAGAACCACGATAGATGTTGCAGAAGGTGAGAATTACTATGAAGTTGTGCACTCCGTTGCATTACTAAGTAACTCCAACAAAATAAATAATCGGTTGGCTTCCCATGTTTAAGCATAACGGATTATCGAGATTCAGGCTCTGTTCGCTTGTCTTATAAGCCATACTATTTCAGCGAACAAATAACGTTTTTCTCTCACAACAAATCAGCAAACAGTACTTTTAGCCATGGCTTTTTAGCAAAGCGAACATGGCCTTCAGCCTTGTTCACTCCCAATTCCCACAGTTGACTAAACATCCAGCAGTGCAGACCATTGCAAAGTAAAACTAGCTTGATGACTGAGCACGAACCCAACTTAACCCAAAGACGCCAGGCTTCTTCCAGACCAGGCCTGAACCAAAGTAAAAAAATGATCTATCGATCTACCTAGTGCGAGCAGCGACTCCTGGCCCAAAGGGACCAGGCTTTTCCCAGGCCAAGCCGTATTCATATATGCCTGCAATTGAATAGAATCACAGGCAGACATTCAACGTTGCAAGCACCCAAGCATGCCACACATGATTTGCTTTGCAAAAGGCCTAAAATCGATGCTCCAGCAAAACTACAGTTGACAATAACAAAATAAGTTGCTTTGCAATCAGTCCATTTACACAAGAGAAGCTTTGCCAAAAAGCTTCCGGGATTTAGAGTTCAAAATGACCAAAGTAGCGTGCCTGTTTTCTCTTTATAAATCTTGATATGGTAGAGACGTCGCCTTGAATGATTATCTGGCCATCTTCTATATAGATGGCACCATCTGCGTATTTCAGCTCTTCCAACCGACGAGTCACCCACATAACACGGCGACCTCCCCGTCAGCAGCCACAGAGTTCCTCACTGCTTTTATCACGCCTATCTGCAGTTGCAGGCTTGCAGCAAACTGAGATTAGAGTGCAGAACTGTCACTAATGTATATCACAACCAGTAAAATGACTTAGGAACACAAAAGTTTTACCAGAGCATTTGCCATAAAACATTACAGTGCAAGTTAGACAAAACTAATATAAGGCACGATGATAAGCTCCAACGATTGGGAAACAAATTCACAGAATCATAAAAACTAGAATTTGAAGGAGATCCGTACCTGGTCATGTTCATCTAAGAATGTGGTCAGTTCGTCCAGCGGTAATACTTTGGATGCTTCAGCTAACGCACCAGCAATTGCAACTCTCTGTTTCTGCCCACCACTCAGAGTTTGGATTGGCCTCTGTTTGAATGAAGGTTTATGAACATTATGCCTCAACCTGTATTGATCACCTGCTGACTGAAAAGTGTAATCCTGATGTTTCTTGATAATGAACCTCTGAATTGCAAAAAATAAAAGAGCATCCTTGCCAGCGTTGCATGAAAGGATCCCATGAGCCCAGAGCTCTTTTTTATTCCTCTAAAAGTACTTTTTTCATGACATTCCTATGGAAAATTCCTCACCCATTTCTTGTTCCAAACTAGTATTGATGTCGGCAAAATGGAGGAACAAGAATCCAATGAAATTTCTATGAAAAAACTCTGCTCCGAACCATTCATGTAGAGGCAGTTGAATAAATCATCTGGATCTCTAACAACTTCAGTTCTACACACTGAGGCAATGCCGGCATACAAAGGTTTGCTTTTTGCTTCATAAATGGGCATGCCGCGCATCATCCTAGAGATGGACGCTTCTGTGTTGGTCTCTGCTCTTAAAGCGAATGGAATTGATCGAAGTGGTGTCGGAGGCCTCATAGGACAAGCCCAATAAATAATGCGATCTGAATTTTCATCATGCGTTATCTCAAATTGTAGCAGGTGTTGTAATAAGGTGGCTGATGCTTTGGCTGCTTATGGAGTATGTTGTCCTCTGATACTGAGCTGTTAACAAGCCAAAGACATGAGTTTGTAAGGGTGTGTTTGGTTCCATGGATATCTATGGATGGCACCTGGATATCCCCGGATGAGTGTTGGATATCCCTGGATGAGTGTTGTCCCTCAAGATGCTGGATACAGCTGCCCCTAAAAATCTGGCGAATAAGCTTGTCCACGGCTGGTCACGGGCACGCGGGAAGAGAGGTGGGAGCGCGCACGGAGAATGTCCTCACCTCCTGGTCGTCACCAATCTTTTTCCTGATGGCTCCAATCTCTCCCTACTCCTCGTCTCGAGTCACGGCGGCGCCGCTCGCCTTGCCCTGCCGCTGCCGGTCATCTCTTCCCCGCTGGTGCCCGCTCGGCAGAGCACGTAGGTGAGGGGCGCGAGCAGGAGCTGCGTCGGAGAGAGAGAGAGATAGAGAGAGAGAGGAAGCAGGGGCTGTATCTGCGAGGTGGAAGACGGAGGCAGCCATGGAAGGAGCGAGGTCCTGCCCTGGAGCTTCCGGAGGAGGCGCGAGGGAGAGGACGAGCGACACCGGAGGCGGCGCGAGGGAGAGGATAAGGCCGTCCGTGCCTCGGGTGTCCGTGTGTGGTGTTGTGTGCGTGCGTGTGTTGGTTCCTGTAGCGTGCGTGAGATTTGTGGGGTGGGTCTGTTTTTCTTTCTCTTTTTTGTTTTCTTTTGGAAATTCTTTTCTTGTTTTTACATAAATAATTCAGTAACCATGTATATATGTTGAAGCTGTTGTGCACGTTTCAAAGGGTAACATCACCGGTTTGGATAGACAGTGACTGCAGCTGCCTTCTTCGTCCTCGTTCATCCAACCATACAGAAAAATAGCTCGTCCTATCAATAGATATCTATCCAACCAAATAGAAAATTGGCTTGCTTTATTCATCCAACCAAAAAGACAATATGGATATCCATATTCACAAATCCATAGATGGTCATATCCTATCTATTCTTGTCCTCAAACCAAACACAAGTGAACTTGTTGTAGATGATTTGTCTGAATATTGTGTCTAATGAATATGTGATTTGCCTTAAAAAAACGGGAGGGCATCATTGTAATGTTTCCTACTCCTAACTTGATACGGTATCGCTAGTCGGATTGGTTTTAATTTTCCGTGGCCGCTGCAGGGTCGAGTCCGACTTGAGAAAGCTGGATCACAACGCGTTTTGGGTTCTCGCCTCCCCTTCCCGCCGTTTTATAAATGCTCCCTGTTCCCTAGCGCCCACTCCGATCCTTTCTCGTTTCTCCTCTCTGCCGCCACACCACGCCACGCACGCTGAAAATACCTAGCGAGCCGCCGCCGGCCGGAGCAATAGAGCCACCGTCCATGGCCACGGAGCAGGGTCTTCCTCCTGGCTACCGTTTCGTGCCCACTGACGAGGAGGTGGTCGAGCTTTGCCTGCTCCCTCGCATCCAGGACCAGCCCCTCCTGCCGAACGACATCATCGAGGACGATCCGCTGAGCGCGCCGCCGTGGGCTCTCCTCGAGAAGCACGGGCGGAAGCACCAGGCCTTCTTCTTCGCGGCGTGTCAGGCCATGAACGCCAAGGGCAACCGCCAGAAGCGGACCTGCGTGGGACACGGAACCTGGCAAGGGCAGGGCAAGAGGAAGCGCCAGCAGGAGGAAGAAGGGCAGGAGGTCAAGAAGAAGCTGCGCGTGCGCGTGCACGGCAGCGCCGAGAAGATCGAGATCGAGTGGGACAAGTATGGGCTCAACTTCCAGGAGCACGGTGTCAAGGGCAGCACGGGCTGGGTCATGCACGAGTACTCCATCACCGCCCCGCCCGAGTTCGCGCGGTCGCCGGTGAGGGTGTACTGCATCCGCTTCAGTGGCCACGGCAGGAACGCCAAGAAGAACAGCAGGGATGCGCAGCATAGGGGCGACGACGACGAGTTCGAGAACGAGGAGGAAGTGGATGATGAAGCAGGAGCAATCGCCACCGCTACCTGTAGTGCTACTGCTGCCGCGGAGGAAGACCCTGCTGCCCTGTTCATCAATGAGTACCCGCCGGCATCGCAGCTCGAGTACGACACTTCTTTTCCTGTGATGGTGGCGGATGTTGTCAACCCCAATCCTGCTGATGGGGCGGGCGCAGGAGCAGGCTACGATCAAGACTTGGACTTGCCCGCGTTGGTGGACGACGACAGTTTCATTTTCATGAACTCTCTGCCTGATTTGTTGCCTAGCATCGACTTCTCGCAATGAGCCGATGGTGCCGGACGCATGATCAAACACGCTGTAGATTGATTTAGCTCCTTAACTTGTTGTAGCTTCAGACAGCGAATTGCTGTATCTGTTGATTTTTTGCGTTGGAGATTCTTGGAACTGAGTTTGTACTGCCTTGTTAGTACTGGTTTAACCTTCTTGACTTGTCTTAACGATACTTAAATTGTACTTGATTTTTCTTTACTATTTTCGCGAAGACAAGTAATCGATCGGTTAGTCTTGTTCAGCCTGTTCACTCCCAATTCCCACAGTTGATTAGACAGCCAACTGAGCAGATTGTTGCAAAGTAAAACTAGCTTGATGACTGAGCACGAACCCAACTAAACATAAAACTAGCTTTGAACCGCTTCGACGGCGCAGCGTTGTAGATGGGAATAATAGATTGAATCTGAAAACCCTTGCTTACTATACGCAAGAGACAAGTCAATATAAGATGCCAGCATGTCATCATCATCTAAACAAACTCGTGCGATACAAACTGCCTGTGGTTTGTATGACCACATCATGAATTGGCGCGCGCACCGCAGCCAAGCACTGTGTCTTCTTGGTCCAGCCGGTGCCGATCAACAGGCTTCGAAGCGATCCTTGCATCTGTTGGAACTTTTGTACTGTAGATATAATCTAAAGCAATTATCGCCTGATTAAGTGATTAGTTAAGAGCCCTGAGGCGAAGAGAACTGTATTCCTAAAAGCTATTGCCTCGAGAGAGATCTCTGTTCGCTTGAACTTATCAAATTTACTTATCAATTAGAATCTACAGTATTTTTCTCTCACAACAAAACAGTTTCAGCCGACTTATCAGCCAACTTTAATACCAGCCGAACAAAGCCGGCTTTAATACCAGCCAAACAAAACCGGCTTTAATACCAGCCGAACAGGCCGTAGTGCTGCCTGCAAGCAGCCACTGTGTCATCCCTGTCCCAACTCTACACTCGTGTGATTTGGCGAAAACCACTGGGTCAACATTCACAATAATCCACCCCTCCGGCTGTGGAGCCCCCATCTTTTAGGCTTAGCAGGGTCCCACACACACCATGGGTGGCAGTGCAGCCCGGACGGGCACGGCGGCAAGACCAGACCAGGATGTTACTAGTCTGGGTCAGGACGCCCTACACCGCCTGCACAGTTGCAGAGCATGGTGACTGACTGACTGGTGCACGAGTTCCCACCGCAGAGCTAGATTTCGACAGAATTCACACTTCACAGAGAACTAAGCTGAACCCCTGTATAATAATGCTAACACCGCATAGTAGCCAACGGTTATGTACAGTTTTCACATAACTGCTATGGAGTTCAAAGCTCTACAAAAACCTTAGCATCGACAAAGCTAACATACATGTAGCACACAATTGTCATGATGCTTCGATGGTTGTTTCCTTGGGCAAAATTACAACAATCATAGTGTCCGCTGGAACAGGGGGGATTCCTACCATGCCACATGTATCAGATGTGGGAGGAAGGATAAATAGTATCCTCGTCCACATGGCCTTCACAGCAGGAATCCTAATCACGCCAGCGCAGTCTTTCTGTACCAGATAGCTTATGAAATCCCGGAACTGCAAGATACAAAACACTCCAGTTAACTACTTGGCCATTAGTTATCAAGAACATAACACTGAAATCTAGTTTCCACATGATCTCAGACAACCCGGTTTCCAGGCTTGATTAAATGACGATAGTATTGCTGTCATGGAACACAGGCAGAGATAAAATGCCATACAACTGTACAGTGGCAGACCCAGAAATTTTCTAGAGCCTGGGCGAACATAAGAATGAAGAACAAGTTCGCATAAACATATCGACTGCTGATATAAACTAAAAATTATGGTTTTACCAGCTCCTGTTCTTTTTGAGAAAAATATAAAAATAGTTACTTTACAATACATGAAGGAGATTAGAGCTGGAGCCGGAGCCGGTCAAGCCACCAATCAGGGAGCAAGGAAAAGGAGATATCACCAATTATCTCTGTAATTATGACAATAAAAATAAATTGTACATTAACAAATTGCTACCAAAAGTCTAATATAGACTATGTAAGCTCACAGGTATACGCTACATACATTTTTAAACATTTTTATGAGGCCGTCGAAGAATGGTAATTTAACTGTTGAGTAAAAATAAAAAATTAATATGAATTACTACATGGTAGTATCTGAGAGTACTATCAGTTGCTTGTTTGTCGCTCTGTGAGAGTCGAGATTCGAGAACCAACGAAGTGATTGATTATGGAGCAGGTAGTGATCGACGTGCTAACCAAGACGCTGCATTCTCCAGAGCTGCGGAGCTACACTGGCTCTGCTGCCCTGTGTCAGGTGGTCGCCGTAGAGAGCCCGGGCAGGTGCCTAGGGTCGCCGGGCCATGGGTCCGCCTATGCAACTGTAGTCTATTGAACTACTCCCTCCGTTCCAAATTATAAGTCGTTTTGACTTTTTTGTTCATCCATTTTGTTACGTATCTAGACATATTATTTATCTAGATGCATAGCAAAATGGATGTACCAAAAAAGTCAAAGCGACTTATAATTTGGAACGGAGGGAGTATTAACTTACAAACACAAAACACCTACAAACTCAAAATTACATGGTCACAATTGACAATTTCAGCAAAGAATTTTCTGCCACAAATGTCAAATTCATTCAGTTTTCCCCACTAAAGAAATCACAACAGAAGGCCTCTTTTGCTTGCCCTAGATTTTGTTGTTTTAAACTCTCTTTCCCTCTAAATTGAAAGGCAGAGTTCCTGCCATAATGATTTCATTTGCTGTTTGCTTAAGGTCTAGTGCAAGATTAATGTAATCACATATGCACAACAACTAAAGATAGTTTTAGAAGTATCGGCACAACAACTAAAGATAGTTTTAGAAGTATCGGATGACTCATTCATTGCAATAGATACAAAAAACAGAGAAAATGTAATTTAGTTGCCATTATTGATAAGATCATACCCCTCTCTGATCACCATTTGAACAAGGCACGAGCCGGCAGACTTCTCTCTGCAAAGTGGGGAAAAATCATTTTTCCAACATCAGAAAGCACAAGTGGATTTTCCTATCTACCCTTAATAAAATCATTCCTAATTAATAGTTAAAACAACCATGTCTATTACTCCGAACCAAGTTACAGTATGTTTAAGCTGAGACCCAATATGAGCCACCAGTAGGGCGGGGCTCCTTTTCCCTAATGTAAAACCCAGTACTCCAATGGAGATGAAACCCAAGAGAAAATTCATTCTTGCTTAATCCAAGAAATCAAACAAAAGATAAATCCTCCCACTAATTATAGGTGACATATAACTCTAAAACTACTGGCATAATGAACTACAGAATATTGTCTTTATGCTAGTACATAAATGTTTACAAGTCGTCCGACTCTGATCGGTCCCTGGAGGTCGACTAGGGACACCGACGCGATTAGCTCGATCAGAAACCTACTCGTCCGACTAATCATCGCTTAATCGCGATTAGTCGTCGACTAGGAGGGGGACGACCAGGCTGGGAGCAGTGTTTTTCGCGGGCCTGTTTAACGGGGCTTAGATTTGGGCATTGGGCTGCCAAATTAGCCCATTAGGGATACAATAGAAGAGCCTCGCCCCACCAAAATGCAGGAGGCGCACTGGAATCCTTCCCCCCCGCCGCCGCAATTTCTCCCGCACGCGATTCCTTTCCTCCCGCAAGCGATTACTCCCCTGCGCGCGCTATTCCTTCTCTCCTGCGCGTCGTTCCTCATCTCCCATCAACGCTGCCTCTGGCGTCCCTCGCTGCCTCAGATTCGTGGCGCGCTCCGCATCTCCCAGCGCCATGCGCTCTGCCCCTCTTCATCATAAGCTCCTCCTCCGATGGTGACTGCCCTTTCCCTCCTCCATCTTCTTCCCTCTTACCCCATCCCTCGCTCTGCAACTCCTTTGCTAGTCTGCTTGCTTGCTAATTCGCCATCCTTGGATGTTGTACTGCTGTTGAAATACATACTATAGATATATATAGTATGTATATATCTTGAAATATATAGGATGACTATATGGACGACTAGGGTCGACCAGGCTCGACTAATCGGCCTGGTCGACAACTAATCGCAATTAATCGTCTGGTCGGTCCCATGGCGACTAGATTCGACTAGACGACTTGTAAACATTGTAATACATTGACTGAACAGTAAGTGAGCACTAAGTAGTTTGGCTTAAATCAGGAAATAGGTACCATGTCTTACAAATAACAAATTTATTAGCATCAGGTATCATCGTATTCTGAAACCAATGTTGTCATAGCAATATAGCATATTAGTATACATGCAAGTAAACTTTAGAAGCTTTAATCACTAATATACACAAAAGCACTTAACTTTGCCACGAAGACATGTTATTCTTATATTTTTCAATAAAAGTATTTTAGTTTGTTCTAGTTTAAAACCTTAGTCTACATACAGAAAAAGTAATTAAAGGTGGTATTGGAGACCTTGTCAGTGTGCAAAGATACTAGCAAAAAAGAATTGAGGGAATAATGTCCATTAGAAATTTCCTGTCCAACTATTACAACCCCCACCCTCAACAGCACTATTTGAGTATTAACAACAAGCTCAGAGAGGGCCCTTTACATGTATTGCTCCATCTACCCTTTTTTGTATAAAATAGTGAGCTGAACCAGGTGTCAAAAGATGCAATTTATAAGGCAACAAGTTCAGTGATGAGCTTTTATTCACCAAATCATCCATCAAGAAATCCAACAAAAGCTAGATTAAAACATACAGGTGTCTGAATGGTCCATAATTAGCTATCAAGACATGGAGCATGAAAACAACTATAGCTTTGCATCAGCAATCTCATAATAGTTTCAGTTCAAAATTTGCGTTCAATTCTGACTAGAGAAACAAAGATTTAACTAGATCAATTTCAGCACCATCATCTGGAAGTAAACAAAATAACTTGATATCCATTATGCAAATAAAACATATAACAGATTTACCAACACCAGTTTTAAGTAGGAGTAT